TTTCTTTTCAAAATACAATTAACTTGGTCAGTGAAACTATTGGAAATATTTTCTTTGGCCCTAACTGTTCAATAAATGAAATAAGGAAAATGTGATTTAAAATGACACTTAAATTAATTATATTCTTTGAGTATATGCTGTTTTTTGTTTTGTTTTTTTTAATCTGATGTTGTGTATTTTTTTTCACAGAGGAATTGTGGGCATTAACCCGGAAACTGGATCAAAAGTTGCTGGAAAGAGAGACAAGAAAATGAAAGTAATGAACCCACATGTATGCACACTGCTGCGGAAGCTAATGGACTTTGAATGCCATTTAAAAAAAAATAATAATAATTAAAAAAAAGTGTTCCAATGGAATAGTTATTGTACATGCAATGTCTTGCCCCTTCATGGATTTGGCAATTTAAAGGTAGGCACAGTTCAGACCCTTTCTTTTGTGTTTATTTAAACTTTGAGTTTATGAATGAAGTTCAGTCCCACTGTAGGGAAGGTTTTTTTTTTTTCTTCTCCACGGCTAAAGCCTTTGGTTTAATGTCCGATCTCCATTTTTGTGTCTCCAAATATGTTTTGGAAAATGGTGTACATGTTAAATGAACATTATTGTACAATAAATTGTTAAATTTATGAAAACCTGTTATTTTGAAAGTTTTATTGTTCACATTACACATTAAATTGACAAAAAAGACTACTGAAAATTACAGGAAAAAGTAGGTTTACACACTATCACAGCAGTGAAAAATCGCAACTAGTTAATTTAGTGAACTGAATTTCACAACAAATGCACAACTAATTTAATGTAAAATGTATGTATAGCAGTACAAGTTCACAGTTGCTCTTGTAATTTCACTCACATTTGTAAACATTGCTACTGTAATCTTACAGGGATAGCTGTAAAAAAACAACATAATTTTACAGCATATATATATACAGCAGTGTGCTGTATTTTTACAGTACAATTGTAATTGATTTACAGTACTCTTGTAAATTTACAGTCTTACTGGCAACCAAAATTGCCAGTAAGTTACTGTAAATTTTACAGTAAATTTTTTTACAGTGTAATTTTAGTTAAATGGACTTTGAAACAAGTAACAACATTCAACAGTTCCCACCCCCAAAGAAAAAAAACCTCCAGGAAAAAAAGCCTCCCAAATATTATTTCATTATGAAAGTTGATGGGTATTTCAACAGAGCGAGGACAGGAAAATTTGCATCAGCATTGTAAACGAAACATAGTGAGTACAGCAACAATGGCAACAAGCCCCGATAATGGTTTTGCACTCCCAAACCAGAGTAGTAACGGGTGAAAGTGCTGTGCTAGCAGCAAAGGAAAACAAAAACAGTTTTGATGGAACAAACCAGTGGAAGAAAGCTGACGTACAAAGAAGTTTGTGGTGGGTGTACTAAAATCCACACTCCAGACTTCGACTCATTGGGAGCAACAGATGGCTGAATGCATTTTACATGAGGGTAAGAGAAGTGGAGTGCTTTGGGGCACATTATCTAAAGCACAAATGGACTCTCTACCAGATGTCAACCTCCTCAAATATTTACAACAGAGATTATGTTTAATAACTTTCATTATAGACTATGATTGGTCTGGATATTTCTGTGCTCAATACCATTCCCTGTGTGGGTACAGTTCCATTTTTCTGAAGAATGAGACATACTCCCTTAGTAATAGGTCAATCAAATCTTCATGACTATAGACCAATATGGTGTTTGCAAACAGTGATAACGTGTTTTGTTGGCGGAGCCTATCTGGTGGCAGAAAATGACCATTTTAAAGTAGCGGTCTATGGAAGCCATGGAATAAAAGAATAAAAAAGGTAATTTTGAGTTTGTATTTCAAAATTCTGACTTTTTTCTCGCAACTCCGAGATTATGTTTCACAATTCTGATAAGAAAAATCAACTCGTTATTCTCTCTTTTTGCCCTCGGCTCAGAATCAGAATCTTTTTGATTGCAATTGTTGAGTTAAATTGAGTTATAAAGTCCGAACTAGGAGATATAAACTTGCATTTGCGAGAAAAAAAGTCAGAATTGTGAGATAAAAATAGGTAAATGTTATAGGTTTAAATAGTTGGCTATTTCATTTTGTAACTGCAGGGCTAATGCAATATGTCCCCTATGAACTGCATGTGTCAATATTATGTAGACCTATTGTTTAAATCAAATTTATGCTATAAAAGTAAGGTAATCATAGCAGGTTTCATCCATAGTTTGTCCGTTTAAACGTCTGCGTTTTGCTTGGCGTCTTTGACGAATTTTACCCGTTTCCCTCCACTTGTTCCCAGTGTTTTTTTCTGCCACCGCAATGCGCACGCAGCTGCAAGTGATGTAACGTTGACGTCTACTCCAAATTGGTCTATTAAAATCAGTATCAACCAATGTGGCTATTCATTTATACAGCATATATATAATTTCCATTCCAACCAAGAAAGAACCATATATATATATATGTGTCTGTGTGTGTGTGTGTGTGTGTGTGTGTGTGTGTGTGTGTGTGTGTGAGTGGGTCTTGTGTGTGTGTGTGTGTGTGTGTGTGTGAGAGAGAGATTAGGGGGGAAACTGAAGAATGGAATTAAACATGATGAACAGAGCTTAGAGTACTACAAAGCATGATCAGAAGACTGAAAGCATGATCA